GAACAAATCTTTTTTCTAGCAACAGCTCAGGTAAAAATCATAAAATATTTTTTCCAAAATAATAATCGAATCAATCTTGGGAAAAATAGTTTCATTGCAGGTTTGTTACTCGAACTCAATTAAATAATTGGTTCACTCGGGATTCACATTCACCCCCCGAATCTCGTGTCAATGTATGCTTACAAAACTTTGATAAATTTGCAGAAAGTTTCAATTGTTCGATTGGATCACCAATGAATCCAGAAAAACGTTGTCGTTTATTCTGATGTGAATTGGGTGTTTTTTTAGGAGCTTGACTCCATAGTTTTATTAATATTTTGAAAAAAGAAAAAAAAGGAAAAAAGAATAAAATAAAAAAAATTGTAACAAATTTTGAGTTTTATTGTAAGTTATATGGTAGAAAAATAAATTTTTTGTTTAACGACTTTGAAATATTGAATTGATGATGTTTGCTCTTCATATTAAAGATGAATTCAAATTTTTACATGATTTAATGTGAATTTGAAATTCTGATAAAGAGTTGTCGGTTTGAATCGTCGAGAAACATTTTCCACAATTTTTACAGTTTTTTTATCTTTTAGTAGACATTCTTTTGTTCGATGGCTGAAGCTTAGACATCTGTTACATGCACCAATGAGGAAAGTTTCTTCTACTATACTTGCGGTTCAACCGTGTGTTAAAGCTTGATCATGTTGTACAAATGTGGTGACACACAAAGAACAGCGTTGTAAAAAAATTTTCGTTTTATTGTATATAGAATTTTGATATTTTCGGCTTTTAAGTCGAGATTGTCATTTTGTACAATAAGCGTTTGAATTAAATCAGATTCCAAAATTGAGTAATCTATGTTTTTGATGATGATTGTTGGGCATTTGGGTTGCGGTTCATACGCTTCAATATGGTTATATATTTTTGTTTCAAGTTGAATTTCGTTAAGAAATTTGTTTTTGTTTGTGACATCACGGAATTTAAAGGCAAAGTTGGTTTTGTTGGTTTGTACATTTACGCATTTAAAGTTTGTAGGATTTATTGTATTACAGATCAGTTCTTTAACTTGACTAGGATTTATATTTTAATTTTGTTTAGATTTTACTAAAATGGTGATGAGATTTTGGTTTGTTGGTTTCGAAGATAATGCATCTTTATATGATTTTACGTTTGTAAATTTGATATTTTCATCAAGTTTTGTGACAATGTTGTTTATTATTAATTGGTTTTGATTTTCAAGGAAGGCCACTTGATCTTGGAGATTTTTAATAAGGGTTTCGGCGCCAATTCGATATTGTTCTGCTGCATCAACTAGTTCTGCTGCCGGTCCTGGAAGATTTGCAGTGGTGGAGTTTTTCATAAGCAATAGTTTCATTTCAGCAATCTTTCCCTTCATAATGTCGTTTTCCTCGTCAGAATTGGGTGGTTTAATTGTGGAAATTAAAATTTATAACAATTTCGATCAGAATAATAATTCAATTAATTCGAATTTAAATTTTCATTTAAAAGAACATTCCTTTCATTAATTTTAACATTATTTGGTTGAAGTTAATAAATATGAAAGTAACAACAACTACTATTCTATCTTTTTCATCGATCATATTGTTGATAACATTATTATTC